ATCTCTATAATTTCACATTTCGTATTTGTGCACTTTAAACGATGAAATCACTTTCCATGGAGATTACTTTTGTCCAGTGCGATAAAAAAAGGCGTGCGGGAATTGGGGACACAATTATCCCCAAACCCTTACGTGTGGTTCCCATGCCGGGAATCGAACCCGGGCCGCGTGGGTGAAAGCCACGAATCCTAACCACTAGACCACATGGGACACAGCTGCACTCCCCTGGATACTAATCATCAGCACTCAAACCACTTTCCAGAAGATAATACACATACATCGAACAGGTGGTGAGTACTAAGTTAGAAGTATTCAGGCCAGGATCGAAAGACCTGGTGGCATAGCTACACTCGCGGTGTGAAAGCATTTCAGTGATAAAAGTGATAAGGAAATATCCATACTGTCATAGGGTGGGCCAAGACGGACTCCTGGAGGGGGTGACAGCGAAGTAGAGGGCAGGGCAAGAAGATGAGTCCTTTCTTGCTCTGGAATTGTGCAAAAACTAAGAACAGGGTTGTAACACTGCTACTTAGAGTTGTCTTAGTTTAAAATTATTTTAGCTTTAGCCCGAATTAAAAATTAAAATATTAGCTTCAGATCCGGGCTTTTGCAGCATTGGTGCCTGCGCAGTTGGAGGAGGGGACGAAAGACCCATTGCCACCTTTCCCCCTTGGATCCACCTGTGCATACTGATGGCCTAAAAAATTTTGGTATTCCTGCTAAGTTATTGATTTGAATAGTTGAAAATATCTGCTTAAAAATGTACTTTGTCAAAAATGCATTCCCTCGTTTTTTTTTTTTTTTCATAACTGTTTATGTTGCTTTGTACGCAAATGACCTAAAAAATGCACGCCACCGCGTGCTATTCAGCACACGGTCGTTTCGGCTCAACTTTTCTTGATGAAGAATTGCTTTACTTTGATTGTATTTATTGCTTTACTTTGATTTCGGTTAGGGAGTTGAGGAGCGAATGTGAAAATCTACTCGAGGAGAGCCGTTCAACGAATGCATGGAGCAGTGGCAGTGCTTCAGTTGTGTGTCCATCTTCCTAACAGCCGCTATTTTATTACTGCTTTACACAGCTTATGAATTACTGGGACGAAAAACGACGGTGGGAAATTTGCGACAGAAAGCGGTACTCATCACAGGTTGTGGAGGAGGTGTCACTTCCATTTCATATTATCTTGAGTTCATCACTTCCCGATTAATCATATTTTTTTGTCATAATACACTAGTTTTGTTACCGCAGTTCTCAAATGTGATTCCTTTTGTTATCACTTTCAGTAATGTTTTAAGTGATATTTTTGTTAAAAAGATATACTCAAAATTGGGGATATAAAATCAAAGAATATCTGAAAGCACACTCATGTTTAAAACATAATAATAAAATACAGTGTGATAAAACACAGTGCAGCAAAAATATAAATTAAATTATCTTCGAAATACAAAAAAAAAAAATTACAACACAAAATGAAAATTTGAGTGAAATAATACATAAACATAGCACAAAAAATAATTTGGAAACTGAAAGTATTATCAAATTGTATGTTTCTGAAGTTTTTACTAAAATGTTATAATTATCTATAACTTATTTTCGATAATCCAAGTCGTTCTCATTAAAATGTATCAGTGTTTTAGGATTCGGCAAGGAACTAGTGATACGATGTCTTCAGAACGGTTTCACAGTTTTTGCTGGCTGTCACCGAGAATGTGTAAGTTTTATGAACAGAATGATTAAACGGAAAGCGTTGAAAATGTAAATTTTTGGATGACTTTTTGATTAAAAAAAATTCTCAAAGTCAAGGACTGTCATTGCCAGATGCTTTATCACACGCTGCTTTTGCAAATCTGTGTTTATGTTAGTATCTATATGCATATACATATTTTTTTCCATGCGATAGCTTCTAAACCGTTCAGCAATGGTTTTTGCATACGAAAAAACTTCTGACTTACAGTAGAGCACTTTTTGAAAAAAAAAGACTTTAAAAATACTAAAATTCAATGCAAGACCTTCAAGTACATCAGTTTCAATGAACTGATTTTTATTCAGTGAGCAAACCTCGAAGCAAAATTGGTAGCGGGCCTAAGTATGTCTCATTTGTCATTCTTTATTTGAATAAAACATTGCAGCTAGACTGGCGTTTGCTGATTTGGTTCTTTTCTTCCAGCTTTCACTCGCTGAGATTTTCGACTTTTTCGCCATCTACACATTAGACCACTTGAACCACTAAGATAAACCGCTTAGATTATAATGTTGCAGAGTGTGAATGAACTGGTGGAAAGCTGTGGTATCAGCCGGGGCAAGCTATATGCATTCCAAATGGATGTATCCGATGAGAGCAGCGTACTGCAATCCCGACATCTTGTACAGCGCGTTCTCAAGGAAAGCGATTTGGGTGTGCACTTTTTTATACATTTTGTGCTGTGTAACAGCAGTACAAAACGCATATTGTCACTGGGTTGTCTGTGTGTGTGTGTGTGT